GTTGGACCAGCACCGGGGCCTAGCAGCGACGACGACTGGGCCGGACTAGCTCTAGGGCCCAGATACGTTAGAACACAAGTGAGAACCTCTACGAAGCATTGTTTGGAGAATGTTCACAGCGTGTCGAAATGGTGACTCAGTTGCGTCGTGGACCTTATTTTATGATTGGCGCTTTGTTCTCGTCTTTCAGAGTGAACGCTTCGTGTCAGCGCGGACCACGTTACTGGATCCGAGTCCTTCCTCATCGTTGTCTCCCCGCCTCTTTCCCCTCCTCTGCCTTTCCCTTGTCCTTCTGCTGTCCCCACTCCCCCTTGTTATATTTCCTTGTCCTCCTCCTCCTTCTTGTTCTTCCTGCTTATCTACAACCACCTCCTCAAATATACACAGATCCCTTGTTCTCGTGCGCCTCGCCCAATGATGTCCTTCTGGAGGTTCTGGGTCCGCTATAGCACCCGTCGGCATATACAGATATATAGATATGTATAGTGCGAAATAGAAATAGAAATGTCAGCGCAATTTGATGGGATGGGTGTGTGGGTTAGGATGTCAGATATGGCGCGAACGCGCCTAGCTTGCCTCCCCCCTCTACAATTACACAATATGAAAATACTCTCCCACTTCCCCTGATGGCGTCCCGAAGATGCCCGACCCCCCCCCCCCGCGTATTGTTTTTCTAGACACAGGATTCCCGGGAAACGGGTTTTCGCTTACTTGTTTTTCAAAATGCTGCTCTCGCTGAGGCGCCGGCCTCATTTCTGCTCCCGAATCGTTCCGAATCGTGCTCCCGCTGCAGCGTGGGCCTCATTTTCGGATCGGTGTTTGGCCTCCGTCGTTCAGGATGGCGTTCTCGCCCCAGCGCGGGCCTTTTTCTCGCGCGCCCATCCGCCCGCCACCACCGCGCCGCACCACCACCACCACCACCACCACCACCACCACCACCACCACCACCATCACCACCACCACCACCACCACCACCACCACCACCACCACCACCACCACCACCACCACCACCACCACCACCACCACCACCACAACCACACACACGCACGCACGCACGCACGCACGCGCACCACCACCCACTACGCACGCGCGCGCGGAGCCACAGGTCCGCTACGACACGCGTCCGCGGATAGAGAAAATCAGCGCCATGGTAAGGGATGGGAGGGAGGGGTAGGACGTCAGATATGACGCGAGCGCACCTAGCTTGCCCTCCTCCCCCTCCGCCTCCTCCCCCTCCTTCTCCTGGCATCCGTCCCCGCCCCCCCTTTCCGCGGGCCCGCGAGAGACGACGACGACGACGACGACGACGACGACGACGACGACGAGGACGACGACGACGACGACGACGACGACGACGACGACGACGGCGCCGACGACGACGACGACGACGACGACAACGACGACGACGACGACGACGACGACGACGACGAGGACGACGACGACGACGACAACGACGACGGCGGCGGCGGCGGCGGCGGCGGCGACGGCTACGACGACGACGACGACGGCGGCGACGGCAGCGGCGACGGCGACGGCGACGACGACGAAGGCAGCGGCGACGACGACGAAGAAGGCGGACTTCCAGAGCCAGCGGCGCCGGCGCCTCCTGGGCGCGCGGAGCGCCACGCCACCGCCGCGCCTCAGCGGCCCCACCGGCCTGAACCTGCGGCCGGCGGCTCTCGCCAGAGGCCTCCTCCGGGGGCGCACCGCACCGGGTCAGGCCCAGGCCCATGCCTCCTCCTCGTCCTCCTCCTTCGCCTCCTCCTCCTCCTCCTCCTCTTCCTCCTCCTCCTCCTCCTCTCCTCCTCCTTCTCCTCCTCCTCCTCCTTTTCCTCCCAGGTCAGTCAGTGCCTTGCCGGATCCTGCGAGATCCTGCAGGATTTTGCAGGATCCTTTGCGCCAGCCTGGGTCAGTGCAACCCTGGCTCTGCAGGATCCTGGAAGATGAGGCGCTCTGGCTGACCCCCGCTTGCACTGACCTCCGTCTCAAGGCTCCCGACCACGTCCAGCCGCCAGATAACGAATGGTGTGCAGCGCAAGCGGCTCTGCGATCCCAGCGTGTTATTTGTTCGAATCAGGCGTTTTTCACAAGTTCGGGCCTCGGCACCCTCACATATAGATCTGGCTCGAAAAGGTTGGCATAGAGATGGGGTCCCGGGTTCTGGTAGTGATTTGTGATCTGTTTTCCACGTTGTAATATTTTCGAGTCGTTGGATCTAAGAGAGGGCTCAGCCAGAGCGCCAGATCCTGCACGATCCTGCAAAGCTGGGCATGGGCTAAGCCGAGTGTGGGAGCCGATCGCGGCCTTGGAGGTGTATTGGCCAAACCAGGTTTGGGACCTCTAAATTTGCAGCGCAAGCTTTCTTATTTAGCTGAGAGCAGGGTTTGAGCTGAGCCGGGCAGACCATGCCCGACACCCTTGACTCCGTGCCTTCGGACCTTCGCGTCGCGAAGAAAAAGACAGAAGGTGTTGGGCAACTTTCCGCCTCCAAGGCCCCCTCATCGAACAGCTGCTCAGGAAGACAACGGGCTCCCCCGGAAGAGCCCCAGACCTCAGAAGGGCCACGCTGCGTAAGGACCAGCGTCGGATGTCTGGTCACTGGCGACAGCGGCAGCGGGGGCGGCAATGACGGCGGCGGCGGCGGATCCCGTTTCCATCGCCTCGCTTTGGATGTTGGAATCCCCCCCACCTCCCCTGATCCGCCGAGACCGTGTCCCGCTTGGCCCTGGTCCACCTTGCCCGGTTCCGCCGAGGCCATGTCCCGCTTGGCCCTGTTCCACCTTGCCCGGTTCCGCCGAGGCCATACACCGCTGAGGCTTTGTTCCGCCGAGACCGTGCTCCGCCGAGGCCCTGTTCCGCCGAGGCCCTGCTCCGCCCAGCCCGCCCCGCTTCCCCCTGGCTGAGAGTCTCCGCAGATCCGCGCCGTCGTGATCTTGTCTTGCAACGTGGCCCCCCCGTCTGGACCCCTTCCCGGGGACCAGTTCATCCCGAGCGGTTTCGTTGACGGTCTCGGGGCTTGGCGATGGCCCCCATGAGGCCGAGCACGTTGAAACATGAGGAACCTCCTGCGGTTCGATAGCAGTCAACCCGCAAAGTAGGGCGATTGGCAGCCTTCCCAAGGGTACCCCTGCATCCTTGCCTCCTCGGCACATCCTCGGCCGCTTTCCCTGGCCGCGCCCCGCTCGCAGAGTATCGACATGGCCGTCCAAGGCCCTTTTGCATCCTTATCGTACAGCCTTGTGATGCGGGTTAATTGGGCTGTTTGCATACGCTGGAGCCTGGGTGTCACCGTGGCCTGGGGTTACGTCGGGGCTGTCCGTCTACAGGAGGAATATCCCAAAATATTTATGAAGAATGATATGGGGGCCATGTCTTGAGCTTTTTAACACAAGTATGCTGGAGCATTTGTTTGATCTACTTGTAATTGTTCGCCCGCACTCCCCCTGCAGGGGCACGTGCCCGACCTAAGCCTCGGGCGGCCGCGCGTCGGAACGCCCGGCTCCCCGCGCCCCCCACGCCGCCGCAGGCGCGGAGCCGGCCGCGCCGCCCGCGCCGGACCCCCCCGCGGCGGCCGCCGCGGAGCCCCCCGCGGCGGCCGCCGCGGAGCCCCTCTCGGCGGCCGCCGCGGAGCCCCCGGCGCCGAGCGGCGCCCCGCCTGCGCAGCTCGGCGAGGGCGGCGCTCGGCGAGGGCGGCGCTCGGCAGCCGACGCGGCGGAGGCCGCCCTCGCCGAGGGCGGCCCCCGCGGCGGCGCCGAGGGCGCGCCCACGGCGGCGACGACGAAACGTCGGGCATGTCCATCTACAGGAGGGAGATTCAAAAATAGGTTAAGACAGTAGTCTGGGGAGGAGAGGGGTCTGTAGGGAGATCCGCCTGTAGGGAGATACGCCCGACCTCAGGCGACAACGACGACGACCCAGCGCTCCGAGGATTTCTTGCGCTCCTCGACCTCGAGGTGGGTGTGTCCTCGAGGCCGGCGCCCCAGGGCCCCAGGGGGCCCTCCGAGGTGGGCGCCCAGGGCGCAGAGAACGCCCCCCGAGGAGGAGGCTTCGGGAGCGCTGGGGCCGCGAATGGCACAGGATCATGCCACACCAGAGGATGGCAGAGGGCGACGGCGGCGGCAGCAGCGGCGACGACGGCGACGACGGCGACGGCGATGGCGACGACGACGACGACGACGACGACGACGACGACGACGACGACGACGACGACGACGACGACGACGACGACGACGACGACGACGGCGACGGCGGCGGCGGCGACGACGACGACGACGACGGCGACGGCGGCGGCGGCGGCGACGGCGGCGGCGGCGACGGCGACGGCGGCGGCGGCACGCGGCACGGGGGCGGGCGCCCCGCGAGGCGAGCCGCAGGCCTCCGCGGGCGCGCGGGCCAGGCAGAGCCTGCTGGTCGAGGACGCGCCCCTCCGATGCACCGCCCCCGCCGGGTGTGGCCAAAGGTGTGCCCCAGGCCGTCACGTACTGGCTACGACGACGCCGACGACGGCGGCGGCGCTGGCGGCGGCAGCGACGACGGCGCTCTTCGAGTGGATTCTGGATCCGCGGAGGCCGCTGTCGAGCTCCGCGGCCGCTGGAGCCGAGTCGCTCCTATGCTGGGTGGCGTTCGCGCGAAGGTTCTGGAGCAGAGCTGGCCGTCCTCCCTGCTCCTCCTCCTCCTCCTCCTCCTCCTCCTCCTCCTCCTCCTCCTCTGTCAGAGCCCCGAGCCAGCAGGGGCAACTCGAGTCGGGGCTAACTCGGGTTCGTTTTTGTCGGGGATCCGCACCCGATTGACCCCGGGCCCGAGTTGCTCCAGGAAATTCGGGCGTCCAGAGCCCCAAATCAGGAGGGGTAACTCGGGTCAGGGCTAACTCGGGTTCGTTCCTCGGGAATCCAAATCCGAGTTACCCTGGGCCCGACGAGTTACCCCAGATCACTCGGGTGCCCAAAGTTGCGCTGCGGTTCCTTGGTTGTTGTTGTGTGATGCCGGGTTCTATGAATGATCGGTCGGATCATTAGGGGATGCACACACCGCTTAGCATCTGTTTGGCGATGTTGTGTTTTCTTCATGTGGCTCGTGATGCTAACAGCACGCGCTCGAGCTACAGGGCAAACACCGAAACAAGCTGATGTATGCGATGGCAGAAGTGTGTCACTGGCCTAAGGCGTCCCCTGAATGTCTGGGGAGGCCCAGATGGATTCCAGAGCACACCTCAAGAGGCCCAGAAGGCCCCAGGGGCTTCAAAATGTAGCAAATAAAGTTGGGGACACCCTGGGCCAGGACCACTTCTAACAACACCTGACGCCTCGCTTCCTCACGCTCGCGCACGCGCGAACCCGCCCGCGCGCCCGACATCAGAGAAGAAAGCGTTATCGATAACGCTACTCGTCCTGGAGAGTTTTCGTCGCTACGACTCGATCATCCTCGCAATCTGGTCGCGACGCCTCTTGGACCTCTGTCGAAACTCGGTCGCGACGCACCCCCTGGACCTCCAGAGAGGTTTGGGGAGCAGCAGTATAGGCGCTTTCAATCCCCCACGACCCGCGACAGCCGACGGGTGGCGAAGCCGCGCGCTTTGGCGGTGCCGCCCTGGCGACGCCGCGAGCCAGGGCGAGCGCGGCGCATGCGCCAGTACGCGGGCCGAGTGTCTTCGGCTTGCGCGCGCGGGGGCACGCACGTATGGCCCGCACGGCATGTCTTGTTCTACTCGGCCATGGGCCGCGGGTGGGTCGCCGGTGGGTCGCGGGTGGGTCGCGGGCTGGGTCGCGGGCTGGGTCGCGGGCGAGGACGACAACGCAACGCAGCGCAACGCAACGCAACAACAATCCGCATTGCGGAGCCCTACTTCGGCCACGCACCCGGGGGCAGTGAATGGCCGTTCGGCCTCCTCACCCTGACAACCAAGATCTTGTTTTGGCCCGTGCGAGGCTGCGAAATAAAAAACAAATCGGCATGCGCAAGCGGGGGCGCGCACGCGTGGCCCGCACGGCACTGCACTCTGCAGCTTTTGCTTCAGCGCGTCGCGCCGCCTGGTCTGGGCCACCGTGCTTCGGCGCAGCGCGCGCGAACCACACCCCAGTCCCCGGGCGTCAACGTCCCGAGCTTCTCCCAGCCTCCGCCAAGCGGAGCCGAGCGACGCACTGTCCGCTCACAGGCGACAGCGTGTCGCCGGGGCCGCTGCAAAGACAGGCTGAGCAAGAACGCCCCTGGCCGTGTTTGGCAGGCTAGGCAAAAGAGTCCCTGACCGTATGTACCCAATGCACATTTTTATGTTGTATAGAAAAAATCCTGGGAGAGTTGTCCGGGGGGGTTGTCCGGTGGAGGTAGTTCGTCTCCGCGCGGGGTTCCCACACGCTCACTTTTAACCTTTGTATAAGGAATTAGTTTATTTTAGTGTTTATGAGCACGTGCAATACCTTGCATTTCCTTACAACAGATTTAATGAACATCGCTCATATAACACATGCGTGCACGGATGTGTTTATGTATGGTGGTGCCGGTAGTATTACGCGCCTGAGCAGACGCACGCATATCCTATTTCATCATGCGTTGCATGCGCTCCTACCTCGCAACGTAATGCATCTATATCAACCTAGAGGGGGTAGGCGGGACGGGGGTAGGGGGGGCGAAGCCCTAGGCGCTGCGGGGGCGAAGCCTTTCCGATATATGTAGAAGTTCAGGCGGATTTGTTGTGAAGCCACAGATATAAAACGCGGAGGGGTGAAACATATCTGAACACGAGTTCGGTTGTTTTTCTTCCAGGTCTGGGGAAGTGGCGAAGCTATCGCCAGAACAGCTACCAGCCTCCGCGCCCTGTTATGTTGTGTTGTTTGTTGTTTTGTGTGTGCGTTTCCACACGGGACGGTCTTTGGGGAGGGGTCCAAAAGCCCCTTTCTCGGGACCCCCGCCGAAGGAGAAAACGAACGCTCAAGGACATTGATGACTTCAGTGTCCTTGAGCGGTCGTTTTCTCCTTCGGGCCAACATTTGGTTTCAGGGGGGGTCGGAGGAGGAGAAGGAGGCTAACGTGCTCTTACTGCGCACCGCTGAGGGAGGAGGACGACAGAGCTAAACCACCAAAGCAGCAATGCACGCCCTCGTAAAGCTTGATTCTGCTGCGAAGAGCGCTGGCGAACTTGGTAGTGTGTACTGCAGCGCGGTATCCCCAAACGCGCGGCAGGAAGAAGCAACTAGGGCAATACCCCAAACACCCTCTCAAGCATCGGTCAGAAGACCTGCCTTCTCGAGCGCCACGCGGGCCGCCTCCGAACGACGCTTGTACAGCTGCCCAACCGGAATCCCCAAAAGCAAGCACTCGCGCATCTCGCGGTGCCACGCGCGGGGATGCACCCGCTTGTAGAGGACGGCCTTGCTGACGCCGACGTCGTCGGCCTCATGGTCACAATCGGAATGTATATGCTACGAGATATGTGCGTAGTATTCTGAGGAGGGAGGAGTGGAGAAATATGAGGTGGAGGAGGGAGGAGAAGGAGGAGGGAAAGGATGAAAGGGAAGTAGGGTATCGGTATCGCTCGGATGGACTAAGGAGAAGTTCGGGGTTCCCCCCTCAAACCAAGCTCTCGGCTCTCCACACCTGGAGGGCGCCAGCGACGGTGCCTTTCGGCAGACGTCGGCGCACGGCCGAACTCTCCAAGGCGGCTGCTGCGCAGAGGCAAAATCACACAAGACGCGATCAGACACTGCCCCTCGAGCTCGAGGTAGCCCACGGGCCACGGACCCGAGAGGACCGATGCCACATCCTCGGACGCAATTAAAAGCTGGAACACTGTTGCCTCTAGCACAGATCATTGATGGCAATCATGAGCCTGCGACCCTGGAAACGAACATTTTTTCCCGTGCGAAAAAAGGAGCTGGGACTGCTGGCTGCCTGCAACAATTAACGAACAACTTACGAAACACTGTCTGCTCAGCCGCCATCACTGTAAGAGACACTGCGGTGAACATGACGCTGTCGGGCGCGCCCAAGCCGTGCCCCCTCTGGCCTTACACGTGGAGGATATTCGTTATCATGTGCACTCTTCGTCACCTTGGGCGTGAACTGCGTGGTGCAGGCCGCCTCGAGGAGGGAGCGGATGACGCACATCTGAGGCCTGCTTTCTTCTCTGTGGTGCCATCCTCGACGGCGGGACGCTTACGAGCCTGACTCCTGGGTCAGCAGCAGCAGCAAGATTACTGGCCCACTTGACCAAAGGCTGCCCATTGCGGCACAGACATACTTAGAGCTCAAGAATATGTGCCTCCAAGGGTACGTGTTGACGAAGATGCCACTGAGCCTCCGAATAGCTAAGGAAAGAAACCTCACACAGCTGACACTCATAAGGAGGAGGAGCAACATGAGCAAATACAGTAGCGGAACCTCTGGACCTGGGACACGTATTGTTAATCATGCTACGTAGGAGGTGCTGGCTAGCGATCCTTTTGGTAGCGTAGATATTCCCACATAGAATACACGCGTTCGAGACAGTAACAACATTGGCCAGTTCACGAAGTCCATGGTTAGGTAATCTAGAGTTCGCTTGGTGCAGCAGTAGGACGCCTTGTGGGGAATACAGCGCTACAGATACCTACCCCCTCCCCAAGGTTCAGCCCACAGACGAAGCCAGGAGGAGGGGGAGGAGGAGGAGGAGGAGAGGGAGGGGAGGCCCCAAGGGACACAGAGGGAGGTATCTGTTGACCTGGATATTCACTTGCCAGGACTCGACGATCGGTGCAGAGGAAGGCGTCCCGCACAACTTCGTCGCAGAAGATCGCAACAGGCCGCACACGGACAGACTCAACGTGTTGCGGGCGCTCTCCAGCACGAAACAGATCTTCACGATCCGCTTGAAACTGCGTCCACCAGGAACGTACAGGCCCCACTCTGTATCCCTCCCCGTCCAAGCTCCTGAACTCTTTATCCTCCCACAAATTCTCCCCGAACGTGGCACCTAAGATTTGCAGGTTGCGCAAAGGGCGCCTCACAATATCCTGCATCCACTTCAATCTCTGGACACGAAGAGAGAGCGAAACCGGCACAAGCCTCAACTCCGACAGAACTTTCTTGTTCGTCATAGCATTGTATTGCGTCTCCTCATCCTCCTCCTGATGCTTACCGCTAGCCTTCCCCCTCAACAATCTGCGTGACATAGACGCTTGAGCGCCGTCCAGCTGATGTACACTCTCACTACGTAAAACAGAAGCAACCAAGCCAGACATCAGAGCACCCTCCACCGCCGAACGAAACACTATACTTTTCCAACGCTTGTTGGAGCAATGCTGCCAGAAACCTTGCAATAAATTGTATCCCTGTCGAGCTTTCTGTACACGCCGAGGGATTTCAGCAACTGGACTGCCACCAGCACGAAGAAACGGGCCGAGTTATCTGCACGAGCGAGCGACTTTCCCAGCAATCTCCTCCCCACTCCTTAATCTCCAGGTGCCCTTGACCTCAACATACCTCCATACAGACGACGTCGAGCAGCAGTGGCACCTTTGCCACCCAAATACACTAGACACTCCCGCTTGCTCGAGTTGGCCTGAACGTTGGCGATACTTCGTCTGTCTTTGAGATGTTCAGTGTTAATTTTGTTGAGCCTGATCAGACCTTCGAACGAACGCACGAGCTGAGTCCTAGCAAGATCATCCGCGAATGCGGTCAGAGACACATCGATCGGCCGCTGCGACCAAAACCAGAGGCGGACACGATCGTGCACATCGTCAGTCAAACAATGCTTCAACCACGGAAGAGACACGCTAAGCCCCGGGCACTCAGTACACAACTCCGTCAACTGACCAATGCTACGGACCCAGAAACCATACACAGGCGATAGAGTCCCCAGGAAGCGTGCCCGAGCCGATCCCCATCTCTAAAATACCGTCCACACATTCGCGCGAGACTGACATGACCGTGCATCAATCTTTCCGCAAAAAGCGCAGTAGCGAACTCATCCGAGTTCAGCCTGATGAACATCATCAGCATTTCGTGCGACACACTGTGGAACGCGTTCGTCGCGTCGTAAAAATCCGTGCAGAAACTCAGGCCCCCTTCTCGCAATCTTTCTTGCACCAACCCCTGCACTATAATAGCTTCTTCCCTCCTCCTGTTCTTAAGATATCCGTATGCATAATGTCTGGAAGCTTCATACGTCAATTGCGGATTAGCACGCCATAGATATTTGTAGTACGCCTTGCCAAACGGGTCCAGACTATGAACGAGACGAAGTCTTGAACACTCTGCTTTCCCGTTGGCCTTGCTGAGAGTGAACGCTTGACTGCAATGCCAGATGAGCGGAGCTTCGACGTGAACGCGCACAGCAGCTAAGATCGCGAACGGTCACTGCCGAGTTGCCAGCAAGTCCCAGCTCTCTGTAGTATCACCTAGCCCCGCACGGGCTCGTGGCTTAAACTCCTTGGGCCAGAACAACATACGCCACACGGCGGCGGGCATCGACCACGACGGAGGTGCGCGGCGAAGTTTAGCACGCCTGAAGAACCCCGGAACTTTGCCATACACCTCTTTCGTAGCACTGTTAGCATCCTACATGCGGTCAGTTCTAGCCTCGTCATACTTCGGAGCACCAGCAGAAAACAAAAAAAAAACAAATCCTTCCTCCCCAGGCTGCGAGAGGATTGAGACCAAGTATCGCAGTCTAAATACACTCTAGGGGTCGAGAACAGGCGCAGCTTGGGGCCAAGCGACTTCCCACTTAGCTTACGCGTCAATTCCCACGACAGCAAAACTCCGCTCGCCCCAAGAATCTTCAAGCTCAGACACCCGCAACCCCAGGTAACGGTTTCTGTCACGTCGCGTGAAATACCTAACAGAGCGGTCGGCCCGACGGCACAGAGTTCGACGCCCGGCAAGTTTACACATGTCGGCTAAACATTCACGATACTGCTTGCACACGCAGACGAGTATGCCACACGCAGCGAGGGGGAGGAGGTCGAGCAAGGCAGAGGACGACACAGGAGGAAAGGGAGGGGGGAGAGAAGGAACAGGACAGGCACGCAAGGACCTCAGACAGAGCCTCCTCTCAATGCGCACGGCGAGCGCATCTGACGTGTCCTGCGGCCTCACAGCATGTTTGGGTTGAGCACTAAAACAGGACCGAGCAGCGGGCATCACTGCATTGTGGAACGTCAAGTACATGGAGTCAGCGCTCTGCTTCGACAACTCCTCTGCGTCGAACGCAACCTGTCCGACAGCTCTGTTGACCTCCGTCTGGAACGCGTGTCTCTCTTCTCCAAACAAAACAGCACGGCTAAGCTTATTGTGGTCCCATCGAACTTTCTCGTCCTTCGCTGGAAAGAAAGGCCCAATCTGCAGTGCCGCAACGACAGGAAAATGATCTCTACGGGTACGCGTGTTGATGAGCTGCAGCGCCTCTCCCGCACGCTCCCAAACTCGACAAGCATAAGCCGACCCTCCAACATTTCTCGTACTGCATATGTAATCCACTCGAGCCGTAGAAACTCCATCCCCATGATAGTACGTAGGACTGCACTCGAAATACGTGTCCACCGCGCACAGGTGATGTTCTTCCAATGCTTTTCTGAAGAAGCTACCATTAGTGTTCTCAAGGTCCATGTTAAGAGTGCCCAGCGAGTCGCTCGCCTCGCTGCCCACTCTGGCGTTGGCGTCCAGTAGCAACACAGGCACGGCACGTGCAGGAAACTCGTTGAGAAGACTTCTCAGCGCGTCCCAGAACCTCTTGCAGGACTTGACAGCCGCTGCGCGTCCTCGTCCACCAGGCGGCTCCACAGGCGCATAAGCCACTATAACAGTCGCGTCTGTATTCTCAGTCTTGAAGCGAACAGCACCCAAACGCCCTGCAAGATCTCCTGTATACGACCAAATTCTTCTGACATGTGTAGGTGAGAAATATTTATCATGAACCAACAACGCCACACCAGTAGGACGTCCCGGTGTACCGCTGCTGCGACCCCATTGAAACCGCAGAAACCGTCCAAGGCGATCCTGAGCACACGGCAGATCAGTAGCCACTTGTGTACTTGCAAGGCCCACTATGCCACAATTCTTGAACTGTCTCGCTGCGTCACTCCATCTACCAGCTTGCCTCATAGAAAGTGGATTCCATGTGCAGCAGCGAATATGCATGATGGCCGCCCGAGGATGACACTTTGAGGGGTGTCGTAGCACGTCAGGGACATGCCTGGGGGCGCTGATCGCCCCGCGAGAAAAAAAAAAAGGCTTGCGCCGCGGGGGCTAAGGGAAGTAGGGATGAGGAGGAGGGAAAGTATGAACGTGTGGATGCTAGCGATAAGGTGAGTATGGTACTATGGCCTGCTTGCTCTTGTTGCCCTGCTGGAGAGCCTTGCCGCCCGCGTTGGCCTTGCACTTGCCTCCCTTGCCCTTGCCCTTGCTCTTGCTCCCTTTGGCCCTGCACCTCAGAGCCCTTGCCCTTGCTCTTCCTCTTGGGGGCGAGCGCCTTCAACTCGCTTGGCGTAGGCGCTGCCTCGTGCAGTCCCGAACACAACTGGGCCAACTCATGGGATCCAAGACGCTCGTGCTCCTTCGGGCCCAGAGTCTTGGCACAAAAGCGAATCCTCGACGACTTCGGTGGCGAGGGGGGGGTCGACACCTGTTGGGGCCTCTGGGGGCTCGTGCGGGGCCTCGGGGCTGGCAACGAACGCTTCGGGATGAAAAACCAGTCCCGGGGAATGGGTCGAGACCTCGGGTTGGGCGCCGCGTAATGGGAAATGGGGGGGTGTCGCGGGTGGTCCGAAAAGGTACCCAAACGGTACCTAAACGAGCCCCTTGGGGCTCTGGAGGGGCCCGAAAGGGGCACGAAAGGGGACCTTTTTTGACCCCCCCATTTGCGACCCCCCCATTAAGCCACGCCCAATCGGGGGGTCGACGCAATGAAAAGAACATGATTTCGGAGGTCTGGATCCGCCCTCGAGCAAACACCAGCGCCTCAAGCCGCCGGAGAGGCTCCCCGCCGAGCGAAGGGCGGTCTCGCCGCGGCCACGGCTTGCAGGGCCGCGGCCGCAGCTGCCGCGTGGGGAGGCAGCGCCATGGAGGCTCGGCGGCTCTAAGACGGGGGGGCCCGAGGGACTGAGCTCGGAGTTGGCCCTCGGGACAGTCTCGGCGACACGTAAGAGTGGCCGGTCGCCAGAGGGGCCTTTGGCGGTGCGGGCTCACTGGGGCCCCGCGATGGCTGGAACCGATGCGGCAGCAGCGGCTTGCGCGCCTGGGTTCGGCCCTCCTCCTCCAGCCGCGCACCGAGGGTCCCTCGTGCCCAGGGTCGCTCCTGCGCGTCGCCGATCGGCACGGAAGGCCCAGCTGAGCCTTCAGTGTTGTGGGAGGCCGCTCGGCTTCGGGGCCCAATCCCTTCGAGCCCCGTCTTTGATCCGCCGAGAGGCCGCCGGCAGGCCCAGCGAGGGCGACCCCGCCGCGGCGACCGGCAGGGCCGAGGCGCAAAGGGGGGGGAGGAGGAGGAGGAGGAGGAGGAGGAGGAGGAGGACGAGGAGGAGGAGGAGGAGGAGGAGGAGGACGAGGAGGAGGAGGAGGAGGAGGAGGAGGAGGAGGGAACGGAGTAGGAGGAGGAACAATAATAATAATAATAGACATCACAAGAAAACTAATAGTAATCATGCTAGCAATGTAAATGCTAAGCTCAGAAGAAGAGTAGTAATACCTATAAGAAGAAGCTGTATACGAATAACACTGACAATACTATTAATGCGAAGAAGAATATTCATATGACAAGTGACACTACTACTGGTACTCATCATATCAATACTCATAATAATACTGGTACTACTACTAATCAGGCTAAGCGCACTAACAGTAATAATCATGATGCATATATCAATCGCAAAACTACTATTAATAAGAAGAAGAACAATCATACTCATCTTAATCCTAACAGTACTACCAGAAATAATAATTATTACGTATGAGTAATCACGATGATGCTAAGAATAAGGAAGAGAAGAAGAAGGGGGGGAGGAGGAGGAGGAGGAGGAGGATGGAGCGGAGGAGGAGGAGGAGGAAAAGGATGAGGCGGAGGAGGAGGAGGATGAAGAGGATGAGGAGGAGGAGGGAGGAGGAGGGAGAAGGGGAGGAGGAGGAGGCGGAGGAGGAGGAGGAGGAGGAGGAGGAGGAGGAGGAGGAGGAGGAGGAGAGGAGGAGGAGGCGGAGGCGGAGGAGGAGGAGGAGGAGGAGGAGGAGGAGGAGGAGGAGGAGAGGAGGAAGAGGAGGAAGAGGAGGAGGAGGAGGAGGAGAGGAGGAGGAGGAGGAGGAGGAGGAGAGGAGGAGGAGGGGGGGGGGGAAGAGGCGGAGGAGGAAGAGGAGGAGAAACAGGGAGCGGAGGAGGAGGAGGAGCAGCAGGAGGAGGAGGAGCAGCAGGAGGAGGAGGAGGAGGCTGAGGAGGAGGAGGCGGAGAAGGAGGAGGAGGGAACGGAGGAGGAGGAGCAGGAGGAGCAGGAGGACTAAACATAATACTCAGAAAACAACTATGAATAAGGATGATAGCAATGTAAACAATAGAAACCAGAAGTTTGATAGTAATAATCATAAGGGTGGTAAGCTGAATACTAATACTAGTGATCACACTACTAACGCGAATAATACTATCAATAGTAATCGTGGCGCTACTAACAATACCATTGATATTCATATTCAAACTAATAATACGAGCACTAATACAACTGGTGCTATCACTACCACGAATACAAACACTGATCACAATACTACGCGTACTAACTACAGTACTAATCATAATGGACATAAGTCGGAAAAAAAACAGATTACGACACTTACGAAGCATACGAAGAAGAAGACGAAGACAAAGAGGAGGAGGAGGAGGAGGGAGCGGAGGAGGAGGAGGAGGAAAAGGATGAGGCGGAGGAGGAGGAGGATAAGGAGGAGGAGGAGGAGGAGAAGGAGGAGGAGGAGGAGGAGGAGGAGGGGGGAGGAGGAGGCGGTGAGGAGGAGGAGAAGGAGGAGGAGGAGAGGAGGAGGAGCAGGGAGTGGAGGAGGAGGAGGAGCAGCAGGAGGAGGAGGAGGAGGAGGCGGAGGAGGAGGAGGAGGAGGCGCAGGAGAGGAGGGGAGGGGGAGGAGGAGGAGGCGGAGAATGAGGAGGAGGAGAAGGAGGAGGGGAGGAGGAAGAGGAGGCGGAGGAGGAGGAGGAGGAGGAGGAGGAGGAGGAGGAGGAAGCAGAGGAGGAGGCGAAGGAGGAGAAGGAGGAGGAGGAGGAGGAGGAGGAGGAGGAGGAGGAGGAGGAGGGAGAGGAGGCACGGGGAAGGAGGAGGAGGAGGAGGAGGAGGAGGAGGAGGAGAGGAGGAGGAGGAGGAGGAGGAGGAGGAGGAAGCAGAGGAGGAGGCGAAGGAGGAGAAGGAGGAGGAGGAGGAGGAGGAGGAGGACCTTTTTGGACTTTTTGCGCAGCACAGCGTGCTAAAAAAAGGAGGGGGAAAACAGAGGGAGGAGGCCAAGCACCTGCACCCACGGTGGCTACTCCGTAGCAGCCACCCCCAGCGCCTCCTCCTCCCCGCAAGGGGAAGAGGGCGCGTCGGGTCTCGGCGGTCTTCGGCCTGGGCCTCTCGACCTCCGTCGGGGCCTTGGACCGCTTGGGGTCCGCCGAAGAGGCGTCCGCCAGAGCCCGCCGAGCCCTTCGACGCACCAGGGCAGCGGTGAGGTCCCAGGCGTCTGTGGCGGGGACAATCTGGGCGGCCAAAGTCCAGGAGCGCTCAGCGGCTTCAGAAGCCGCTTCATCGGCTAACTGATTGCCACTGGCAAGAAAAACTTCGTGATGGGAGAGGGAGGAGTCGTCAGGGGACAGGTGCGAGGGCGTCCATTCGACCGAGACATGCCCTGGGCCTCGGTCGTCGATGGCGCAACGAATTCGCAGCCACAAATCGCTGTTCCTCACCCCCAAGCTCCAAGGTCGGCCCCGACTCCACCCCGTCATGAGAGGCTTGTGGTCCGTCACAAAGTGGACAGGACCAGTGGTGCTTTCCAGACAGAGTGCGAAAGCCTGCAGCTCCGACCTGGGCACCGTTTGCGAGGGGCCTCGCAAAATCCCGGAGATGCCCCCCAAGACGGCCCAACGCAAAGGTCCCTCCCCAGGTCGCGCGTCCCTGATCACAACAACAGCGGAGCCACAACGACGGCGACGAGGGTCGGACGAAAAGCGTCCTCCAGCTCCGTCCCCGAAGCCGACCAACGGGCTGCTGCCAGGGTCTCTAGAGCAGGCTCCAAGAGGGACCTCACCAAGTTGGGCTCTGCTCAGGCTCTCCAACGGCTCCCTGAAAACAGGGTGGGTGACACGGGTAGGCGGAACACCTCTCAGCCAAAGGCTTGGTTCAGATTCAACAGACGCTAACGCTTGCGGAATCAAATGATCAGTAGACGTGAAATCACTGTGATCTTTATTGCAGGGGCAACGCCAAATGCGATGCGCAAGAGTTTCTTCCTCCTGCTGGCATCGCGGACACAGGCGGTCAGCGGGCTCACTCAGAGGGTGCTGCCTGTCCATCGTCCACTGGGCGCCCGTGACCACGCACAAATTGAGGCCGAACAGGTCAAGCTCCCCCTTCTTGACGAAGTGGCTGAGCTCCAGCCTGGCCCAATAGAGGTCAGCTCCCTCAGCCAGGCCATCACCTGCCATGTGCTTCGACGCATTGCTCCAAAGCTGAGCGCGAAAATCAGTGACCACGTCGTCCAGCAGCTCGGAGATGTCGAACCCAGTGGGGTCGTAGCCTGCACGTCGTGCGGTTGGGATCAGCCACTCCTCGATTCCTCCGACAGTGGGCCTCCTCCAACGTAGAACCGAGGGTACTTCCCATCCCGCGTCAAGCAAAGTCGCAATAACAGCTCCAATAGGTCCTTTGACCAGTCTCCATCTCTTGCTGGCGCCAACTGCGAGAAGCCGCCGATGAATGACAGTCCAAGCATTTTCGACTCGATGGTGAATGCTGGTGTCGGTCTTCCAGAGACAGAGAAATTCTGAAAGAAGGCCTCGACGTAACTCCAGGGCTGGATCCTTGAGACCGTAAAGGACCGCCAGTGTTGTCGTAAGACACCTGCCCTTCATGGGCCCAGCTCCCGCCAAGGCTGCCTGCCGCCTGACGGCGAGGACGTTGGACGGCGACATGCCCTGGGCCTGGTGTCCGCAGGAGCCTTGAGGAGCTGCGCCTGTGGTCCAAAGACCCTGAGCTTCGCGCCGTAGAGGAGCATGTCTGCGTATGCGGGCAACGCGAGCCGCCCTCCTCTTGCTGGCAGTCAACCTCATTCTGTCCTTAGCGACTGTGCGCCGTTCGCCAGAAGCTGCATCGATGCCAAGATCCGTGCCGTGAAGACCGAACCGTACAGGGATACCTCGCTTCTGCAATTGAGCGGCTGTCCTCCTCCCGTCCTGCGGAACGGTGGCAATGAGCACAGACTTGTCCGAAAGCTTGAGACGGAATTGCTTGGCGAGGTCGGCCAGAGTGACCGTGGCGTGAAGGATCTCTGTCTGGACCTTGGCCTGCGTGCCCCCTGCGCGGGCCACAGTATCATCGATGAATGTCCAGAAGGTGCTGAAACTCGCTCTGCGATGTGCCGCCTCCATCAAAGGATGTAAAAACAACTTGGCAATCCTTACCCCATGCGGGGATCCTGCAACAAGTGACCTGGTGGCGTAGATGGCGTCTGTAACGCCGAGAGAGCCACGCAGGAACCGCGGCCCAGCACACATCTCCAACCCCAGTAACACCACAATCGCTGGGAACTTGAGATCGAGTGCAGCCTGCTCGATGAGGATCCAGGACAACGAGTCGTAGAACTTCTCGAAGTCCAGGAGAAGGGTCGCCGCCGAGATGCCAAGCGCCACTGCGGATTCATCGAGCAGCGCTCGCAAGAGACCTGCTCGAAGCGAGCTGTTGCCCGCCACTGCAGTGTCCCAGAAATCAGAGAGCTCCTTAGTCCATGTGGACGTGACGCCTGCTCTCACGCGGGACCATATCTTTGCCGTCTCTGGAAGTAATCCAATGACCCTCTCTCCTCCTTTGGGTTTGGGTAATAATGCTCCAATAGATGCCAAGATCTGAGCAGGCCACACTCCATGTTCTTCAATACTGTTGAGAAGCCTGCAGTAATCACACCGACCTTCGAGTGGGAGTCGCTGGATGTCCAGCGGTGTGATGGAGTCAACTCCGCATGCCTTGGTGCCTAAAACCCTGATAACATTGTCCACCTGCTCGATGCTGACTGGATCCAGCTCCTCCTCGCGGCTCTGCGCGTGCAGGCGCTTGAACATGGCGAGGATGTCGGCCTGAGAGTCGACTGGGTCGTGCCAGAGTCTCTCCCAGGTGGATCTGGCGTGTTCCATCCTGATAGTTGGGTCTCCAACGACTCGCCCATCCACTAAGGGGTCGGAAGAGACCGCCTTGGGTTCCTTCACCAATGAGTGGAGCAGTCCTGGCTTAGACGCCCAAACTCCCTTGGCCCAACGGATGAACGAATGCCGCCTCAAGGTCAAACATCTTGCCTGAGAACGACAGGCCAGCTTCTCAGTTAAGCAAGCAAAATCTTCGCGCTCCATCTCAGTGGCGCTAGCAAATGCGCGCGACCAGGAGATCCACCGCTGCTGATTAGCGGTGCCCTCAGCGCCTGGACCAAAGAAATCCGATGGGTCGAAGCTGCTAGCGTCGTTGGTGTAGCGACCAAGAGCTGCGGTACAAATCGCTATCTGGCGAGGATCCTTGCCATGTCGTAGAAGAGCCATGATTCTTTGAACCAAGGTGAGAACAGTTCCCCACCATTCTCCAGTTCCATCAGTCATGTGCACTCGCCCTGGGGTAGCTCTGGTCTGCATCCATTGTAAAGAAAATCCAGCTGCGCGTGGAGCCCGTTGTCGAAGGTCGAGTTGATGATGAAGTGCGAAAGCACGTTCCACTCCTGAGGACCACCGCGCGTACTGTCTGGTGACGGCGCCAAGGCCGAGTGCGTTGATATGGCCCAACAACTCAGACTCGACCACACTGCAACATTGAGAGCTGAGCCTCTCCATGGAGGGCTGCTCTTCCCACAGGTCTGAAGGTATGTGAAAAGAGACCTGGGACCCAGGATCCAACGTGCCCCTTGAGGGGTGTAGTGCATCGTAGTCTTCCAGCAGATCGGGTGGTACGCGTGCCCGTTCTTGCTCTTGCCGTTGGGCTCGAAGTATAGACCTCTTGCTGCTAGGGTCCGAAGCGAGCTTGGGTCTGGCTACCTTTGGAAACGGTTCAGGTAACAAAAGTTTCTGTTACCACCATCTGCGCATGCCATCGTGAACGTCAACTTGCAGTGCACAATGCGTCTTCCACGGGACCTGAGGCTGCGACCGAACTCGGTATCTGGAAGCTGTTCCGTACTTGGCCATTGCGAAATCAAAGAGGGAGCCCTCCTGCCCTTTATCGCACGTGGTGCTGGCGTCAGCAGGTAGAATGAGTGTGCCCCCAATTTTATCAGGCCACCCAGATCCTTCCAATGAAGTTGGTGAAATATTCCAGTCGCCGATAACCAACCAAGGGTCTGCAAGCCCATGAAGGAAAGAAGCTAACGCAACCAGCACCTGACGATTTCTGCCAGAAACTCCCAATCCTGGCCAAAGATAAACTGATACCAAGACCAGGTTGCCCGAGGACAAATGCAGGATCATGGCGGCGAACCCGCGCATAGGTCAGGATCATGGCGGCCAACCCGCGCATGCCCGAGGACAAATGCAGGATCAGGTTGGCGTGCAGCTTGTGCATATTGCCGAATGGCCTGCAGCGAGGTGGTAGCCAGATGCTTCTTGGCCATGGCCCATTCACCGCCAGACGAACCTCCTCGTCCTGTTGGAGTGCTCCCTGTGGCGCAGACCTTCCAACCGTCTTTGTCCAGTTCGATCTCCGTCTTGGAGTGGAACGTGGCGGCGGTGACATGAGTCTCCACCAGACAAAACACAGAGTAAGGGGCTGTGTTGACATAACGCTGCGCTTGAGGCCCCCACTCAGTGATGTTACCGTAAAGGATCGAAAAATCTTTCTCGTCGGATATGAGCTTGGAGGGGGCTGGAGCGGCCAAAGCCTGCGCTGCTGGTGCGCTGAGGCCAGCCCCAAGGCCCGAAGGGCCGCCGCAAGAGGCAGCCTGGTCCGCCCTAGCCTCAGGGGGCCTGGCGGTGGCGCCAGGTGGAGTGGGGCCTCCCTCCGCCTCGAACGGCGAGTCCTGGTGGAAACGCTCGTTGCCCTCCTCAAGCTCCAGATCCTCGAACGGATCAAGCTCGGCGTCGTACAGGTGCGCCGTCGTAACGGAAGGGACAGAGGCCTGCGGTCCCGTAGATGCGCGAGGCGCAGCCCTCGGGGGAGGGCTGTCATTAAGGGCAGCATACGCCAGCCCGCCAAGCGCACCCGTCAGCGAGGCTTGACCCGATGCGCCCGAAGAAGTACGAGTGGCCGAAATCCTCATACTCGGGGATGGCGTAGCTCCGCGCGACGCAGAACGCGATGAACGTCTTGCCTGCGGTGCACGTGCCGCCGAGCCTTGAGCCGCAGTCGGCGAAATGCTCACCTCCAACGGTGCTGTAGTTGTCTCGCTTCCAAAAGCGCGCTCCTCATCCGAGTCGAGGAAGAATTCGACTGGGTAGGGCCAGGGGCGCCCGCCGAAACAACATGCCGACAAAACTCGGCGTGGCGCCCCTCGATCTGCGTTAGGCTGTGGACGGAGCCCCTGATGCTGCAGGGGAGGGGGCGGCGCCAGGAGCACCAGGGGCGGCCTCTGCGGAGGTGGTGGAAGCAGCCTCCTGCTGAGCGTAGAGCTCCTCCTGGGCCGACTTGGCCTTGGCTCTGGCAGCAGCGCGCATGGCCTCGGCCCCAGCTGGAGCACTTGTTGCCGCAGCGGCGCCAGCAGGCCCAGCCCCGTCAGTAGAAGCAGCAGCAGCGGGGCCAGCAGCAGCGCCAGCCGCATCGCTGCCGTCCACGCGCCTGCGCTTGGCCTCCTCCCTGGCGCGCAGCTTGCGAGCCTCCTCACGCAGCTCCAGGATGCGCTGCGCCGAGGGACCGAGGACCTCCTGGACCTTGGTCTGGACGCTGTCGGCCAGCTCCTGCTTGATGCGCTCCCAGTCCACGCGTGCCTGCTCGTCGAGCTCCAGGCCCGAGAGATCGAACAGCGGCCCGTCCACGATCTGAAGCGAGCCCTCGTCGACGAGCGTCGAAAGGTTGATCGCCGAAGAAGAGGGTGGCGCCGCTGACGGCGGCGCCGAGGCCTTGACCTGCTTGGCGCAGGCCGCCTCCCAGTCCTGCTGCGCCGCATGGGCGCTGGCGGCCGCCTCGTCCTCTGCGGCCTGGGCGTCGGCGAGCCACTGCTGGCCTTCCAGAACGCGGGCCGAGCAGGTCTCAAGCCATGCCAGCGCCCTCCTGCAAGCCACGCCTTTGGCCCGCACTTCCTCCTCAAGGAGTGGCGCCTTCTGCGGGGCACCCGCGCCAGCAGCAGCTGCCTGCGCCTCCTTCTTGGCCTGCACCGCCGCCTTGAGCTTGAGAAGCTCGTCGCAGTCCGAGCCGAGCTCCTTCTCGAAGAACTCGAAGGGGTCAGCGGCTTGAGCAGGCTGCTGCTGCTGCTGCTGCTGCCCTTCGCGGCCACCATGAGGAACCCAGCCCGCCTGCTGGTAGACCCATGGCCGACGCTGGACGGCCTGGGCCTTCGGTGCGGGCCGGGGCAAAGGTGGTCCCTTGGCGCCCTTGCCTCCTGCTTGAGCCCAGGGAGGAGCCGCAGGGGCATCTGCCGCTGGCTCTGCCTCAGGAGGAGGCGTTGCGGCCTGCGGTGGGCCCCAAACCCACTGGCCGCGGGGACGCTTGTCCTCCGAAGGGCTCGGCACCATGGCGCCTCCGCACTGGTAGCACCAGTGGTTGTTCTTGAAATTCCAGCGGAATCTGCAGGAAGTGCATGTGATGTACGTCGTCTTGGCCCCTGCCGCTGGAGCCGAGCGAACGCCGCCCTTCTTGCCGCCGCCTCCCATTGCTGATGCGAGGGAGGCTGCTCTCCCAGTGAAGGGGGCAGGCGATGGACTGGGGCGGACCAGCCCTCGCAGAGAGGATGTCGGGCGCAAGCACCCTGGCACTGCCGCGGACTAGCGGTATCCAGTTCGGCCAATGCGGGCTCCGCCCGCACGAAAGGCATCTTGAGCCAAAATGGCTACGGAGGAGGAGGAGGAGGAGGAGGAGGAGGAGGAGGAGGAGGAGGAGGGAGGAGGAGGAGGAGGAGGAGGAGGAGGAGGAGGAGGAGGAGGAGGAGGAGGAGGAGAGGAGGAGGAGGAGGAGGAGGAGGAAGCAGAGAGGAGGCGAAGGAGGAGAAGGAGGAGGAGGAGGAGGAGGAGGAGGGAGAGGAGGAGCACGGGGGAGGAGGAGGAGGACGAGGAGGAGGAGGAGGAGGAGGAGGAGGAGGAGAGAGGAGGACGGGGGGGGGGAAGAGGCGGAGGAGGAAGAGGAGGAGAAAAACAGGGAGCGGAGGAGGAGGAGGAGGAGGAGGAGGAGGAGGAGCAGCAGCAGGAGGAGGAGGAGGCTGAGGAGGAGGAGGAGGCGGAGGAGGAGGAGGAGGAGGAGGGAACGGAGGAGGAGCAAGAGGAGGAGGAGGACTAAACATAATAATCAGAAAACAACTAAGAATAATGATGATAGCAATGTAAACAATAGAAACCAGAAGGTTGATAGTAATAATCATAAGGGTGGCAAGCTGAATCCTAACAAAAGTGATCACACTACTAACGCGAATAATACTATCAATAGTAATCGTGGCGCTACTAAAAATACCATTGGTATTAATATTCAAGCTAATAATACGAGCACTCATACTACTGGTGCTATCACTACCACGAATAATAACACTGATCACAATACGCATAATAACTACAGTAATTACTAATCATAGTGATCATAAGTCGAAAAAACAGATTACGACACATACGAAGCATACGAAGAAGAAGGCGGAGACAACGAGGAGGAGGAGGGAGCGGAGGAGGAGGAGGAGGAGGAAAAGGATGAGGCGGAGGAGGAGGATGAAGAGGATGAGGAGGAGGAGGAGGCGGAGGAGGAGGAGGAAGAGAAGGAGGAGGAGGAGGAGGAGGAGGAGGAGGAGGGGGGAGGAGGAGGCGGATGAGGAGGAGGAGCAGGAGGAGGAGGAGGAGGCGGAGGAGGAGGAGGATGATGATGATGATGAGGAGGGAGGAGGAGGAGGAGGAGGGGAGGGGAGGAGGAGGAGGAGGAGGAGGAGGAGGAGGAGGAAGAAGAGGAGGAGGCGGAGGAGGAGGAGGAGGAGGAGGAGGGAGAGGAGGAGCACGGGGGAGGAGGAGGAGGAGGATGTGCTGCACGAGAGGCTGCCGCCATGGAGGCCGCCATGCTCCCCGCCGGCTGGCCCGCGCCCCTGGAGATCGAGCCCGGGACGCCGCCGGCGGAGCCCGACGGTGGGACCGCGCGCGCCGCGCTGCCCGCCGCCGCGCTGCTGGTGGCCGTGGTCGCCCTGTGCGCGACGTCCGAGGAGTAGATCGGCCACGCGCAGAGGGGGGTACCCAGACCCTCTCGAGCCATGAAAAAATCACGACGGGAGGTTTTTCTCCATCTTCGGCCCCTGGGGGCCCTTGCCGGGCCTCAGGACCGTGAAAAAAACACTCGGGATGAAAAGCTGGTCCTGGGGAAAAGGTCGAGACCTCTGGGGGCCGAAGTCATGCAACAACTCCTAACGTCGGGGGTCTGGGTAGGGGGAGGGGGGAGGCTTCTTAGCAGCACCCCTGCTCCTTAGAAGCGGCGGGCCTTGTCTGTAGATGTGAGGCCTGCGCCTTCGAAGAAGCAGCCTCCTGCTGAGAAGCCCTCCCCCCTCCGCCCTGCCCCCCCTGCGCGCGCCGCAGATCAGAGGAGAAAGCGGTGCCGAGGCCCTTGCTCGTGCCGGAGGTGCCTCGTCGCCACGGCGGGGTTCGCCTCGAGAAGACCTGGTGTCGGAAGGCCTCCCGGGAGAGGCCCGCGCAGACCGGCCAGATGTTCGGGCTGGACGACGTTGCACAGACAGGGAAAGCTGTCCCTGTCTGCGAAACCTAGGGAAAGCAAATGTCGTAGCAAATGGTGGCGCCTCCCCGGCGCCAGGAGGCGCCGGGGAGGCGCCACGAAAGCCAGCTCGTTGCGTGAGCTGGATATCTTGCGTCCCCCTGTCTGGGCACCTTTCCGTTTCCCCCGAGGAGGTGGGCCGGCGGTGCACGGCAGGGAGGGTCGCAGCCAGAGGGTCCTCGGCAGGCTGCGTCGAGTGGCGGTGCTCGAAGGAGAACACATGAGCGGCGGAAAAGGACAGGGTCGTTTGCGCCGACACTGGCGCGCAAGTTGCTCTCGCAAGGTCGCGCGTGAGCGCCCTCGCTTCTCATGCAGCGTGCCGCGCCGGCGGTCCGCGTAAGCCACCGCGGAAGGCCACGAGGCCATTTTGCGTAAGGCCCTTTTCTTTTCGTCGCCCAAGTTACATGGACATAGATGCTCGGAGCTCTTCGCGGATTTCTCGGATCGGCGCTGCGGGCCACACAGCGGCCCACCGCAAACCTGAGGCATCTGTGCGGAACTCCGAAGGCAGGTGCTCGTGCAGATTCCTGTTCCTGCAGGTGCGTGTGGAACCCAGCCGGGTGCAGCCTCGAAGCGAGCTGTGTGTGGGTGCACTACGTGGAGATGGCGTGGCGGCAGACGGCGCTGTGGTCGCCACTGGTGGCCCTGCCGTACGCGGCGCTGGCGGTCTGGTGCGTGTGGCGCCGCGGCAGCTTCCGGGCGGACCTGCCGTTACACCAGTGGACGCAGCGCTACGGGGTCGGTGCGTGCGTCCTGGCAGCCCTGTACGCCTCGCTCCCGTGGTACGAGGGGTGCCCCCTCTCCAACAAGAAGGGCACCTTCCTCGACGCGCCGCTCCTGGTGTCTCAGTGCGTGCTCATGGTCTTTTCGCAGATCCAGCTCGCGTACAAGCTCGATGACCTCGACTGTCGGCGGCTGGGCCGGGCCGTCCGCCTGACCGCGGTCGCGGCCGTCATGGTGATCTTTCTGTCATTTGCGGTTCTGCTGCCAGCAGTGTACCTGGGGGTAAGCGACGACGCGATTGACAACATAACCATCTTAGGATGTAATTCCTGAGAGGTTGCATTCAGCATCGGCGCTGTTATAACCGCAGTCGAAAACCGGCCGAATACACCCGAATCCCAATGAGCCCCGCCCAATTGCATTTCAGCCGCTCTCCTCCAGCTTCATCTTGGGCCTGATACGGGCCAGTCTGGCTTCGGGGCCCCTTGGACGGGTTGAATTGCTTCTGATCGCTCTTGGGTAGGAGCCCAGACCCCCGACGTCATGATTTTTCATGGCGTCGACCCCCAGTGGTTGTGACACATTTCCCAGGACCGGAGTTCCACCCCGAGCCGTGTTGTGACGGCCCCGAGGCAGGGCAAGGGCTCCCGGAGACCGACAAGGGCGAAACACGTCCCGCCGTGATTTTTCCATGGCTCGAGGGGGTCCGGGTCCTCCTCCTCCTCCTCCTCCTCCTCCTCCTCCTCCTCCTCCTCCTCCTCCTCCCCCTCCTCCCCGTCCTCCTACTCCTCCTTCCCTTCCTCCTCCACCTCCTCCTCCTTCCCTTCCTCCTCCCACTCCTCCACCTCCTCCTCCGCCTCCTCCTCCTCCTCCTCCTCAGGAAGGCCTCTCAGGAGTTGCTTCCTGGACCATCTTCGTATTCTGCCTTCCGCTGTTCAGCGTGCCCAGCACTTAGTGGGCCCCGGAAACGGCAGGGCCGTGTTTGCACCGTTTCCGAAAGAGCGCCTCCTGAAGACGGAACCAGCAACAACAACGCCGACCGGAAGCGGCAACAGAAACGGCTCCGGGATTGGGGGTGGAGCCAGAAACCGGTTCAGAAACGGCGGCGGAACCGGTTACAAAAACGGCAGAACCCAGACCCCCGGCGTCATGATTTTTTCACAACGTCGACCCCCAGAGGTTTCGACCTATTCCCCGGGACCGGCTTCTCATCCCGAGTCGTTTTTTGACGGTCCCGAGGCCGGCCTCGGGACCGTCAGAGGCCGAAAATGGCGAAAAACCTCCCGTCGTGATTTTTTCATGACTCGAGGAGGTCTTGGAAGGAGCCAGCGACAAGAACGGCCAAACGGAACCGGTCAAAAACGGCCCTGTCGTTGCCAGGGCTGAGGCCCAGCACGATCTGCGGCCTCTGGGGCATGGTGGGCGCCGCCGGGCGCGTGGCGCTCTCCGGGGCGGGCCTGCGACGGCGCGCGGCCTGCTTTGTGCTGCTGACGGCCGCGTGCCTTGCGCTCTCGCTCGGCAGCATGCTCGCCGTGGTGGTGCTCGGAGGAGGAGGAGGGGGAGTGGAGGAGGAGGAGGAGGGGGAGTGGGAGGAGGAGGAGGAGGGGGAGGAGGAGGAGGAGGAGGAGGAGGAGGAGGAGGAGGAGGAGGAGGAGGAGGAGGAGGGGCAGGAGGGGAGGGGGAGGAGGAGGGGAGGAGGAGGAGGAGGAAGAGGAGGAGGGGCAGGAGGGGGAGGGGGAGGGGGAGGAGGAGTGGGGAGGCCCCCCTCGAGTAATGACTAAAAACACGACGGGAGGTTTCTCGCCATTTTCTGTCTCCAGGGTCCCTTGCCGGGCCTCGGGACCGTCAGAAAACGAGTCGGGACGAACAACCGGTGTTGGGGAAGGGGTCGAGTCCTCTGAGGGCCGACGCTATGAAACAATTAGGATGTCGGGGGTCTGGGCAAGCAGCACAAGCGTAACTGTAAGCGTAGCTGTTCGAAGGGCCTCGCGGACTTCGTGGATCGGCGCTGGCCGACCCCCTTTCTCCCTGGCGCGCTCCGCGCGCCGGGAGCGGCGCCGGCGCCGCCTGGGGGCCCCTCGCCGGCAAATTTTGCGCGGGCCTCCGAAAGTTTCTGTTCGTGCCGCTGTCTGCTCGCCTACAGGTATACACCGGCGTGGCTGTCTCGAGCACTTATCGAGGGCGCCTGCGGCGGGTCACCGCCGCCTGCCTGCCTCCCGAAAGCTCCCGTGCGGCCAGGCGTTGGGCCGAGGTTTGGCCAGGCTCTGGGATTATGTGCGCCCCCAGCCTTTGTGAACCTCCTGGGGGAAGGCTTGGGAGGGGAAGAGCAATGAGGAGGAGAGGGAGGAAAAGGGAGGAGGAGGAGGAGGAGGAGGAGGAGGAGGAGGTAGGAGGAGGAGGAGGAGGAGGAGGAGGAGGAGGAGGAGGAGGAGGAGAAAGAGGAGGAGGCGGCCCATTGAGGCCCTCTTGGAGCCTTCTGCTGGGGGCGTCCTGGGGCACTCTTGGAGGCCTCCGAGGGACCTCGTGGGGGCCGCCTGGGGCCTCTACATTGGGTCTCAGGGGCCTCGCGGGAGGAGGAGGAGGAGGAGGAGGAGGAGGAGGAGGAGGAGGAGGAGGAGGAGGAGGAGGAGGAGGAGGGCCGCATCTCTGTGGGACACTCTTAAGAATACATTGGCCTTCGGAGGCCATTTGAGGCCCTCTCTGGGCAGTAGTGGGTCCATCTCTGGGCACTTTGCGGCCGTCCTGGATGTCTGCGGGGCCGTCTCGGGGCGGCCGTCCTTGGTGCCTCTCGGGCCGTCTTCAGGCCCTCTGGGGATGTCTTTCGGGCCTCTCGGGGGCCTCTTGGGGGACGTCTTGGGGCGATTTTGGGGGCCCATGGGCTGGAGCGTCGGAAGCCTACGCTCAAGTCATTGAAAAATCGGCAAAGGCCCATTAATCAGTTGGGCCTCCTGGAGGTCCTCGTGGAGCCCTCTTGGGACGTCTTGGGGGCTTGTGAGACCATCCAGAGAACAGCTTGGGCCGTCTTGGAGCCATCTCGGCCGTCTTGGGACCGTCTTGGTGGCCATCTTGGACCACTTCGGCCGTCTTGGGTTATGATGTTCCAATTTACTTTCTAGCCTTAATCACTAGAATGAATTTCGAGCACCAAGAAAATACCGAAGCTGGAGGGCTTTCACGTGTCGGGCCCTGGGTGGCGATTTTCGTTCGAGACTGTTTCGATAGTTCTGGGTGCTCGAAATGATTTCTGGGATGTGGTCCTTAAGCACGATGGGGGCAACAGCAGTCTTGGAGGCCATCTTAGCCGTCTTGGAGTCCCTACTGGGGCCGCCTTGCGCTGGAGGACCGGTGGGACATGCGCTTTGGGCCGCTGCATGTTGTGCCGGCGGGACCGGCCAAGACCCCACTGGAAATGTCCATCCAGAGCCGAAACCATGTAAACACGTGGCACGCCGAACGCCACTGCGGCAAGCCACGGGGGGGCGGCGGACCCAGAAGCCTTTGGGAGGTGGCTCTGTGTCTTGGGCCTCCCGTGGGGGGCCCCTGGGGGGCCTCTCGGAGTCGCTCTTGGCCTCTCGCGGGCCTCCTGTGAGCTCCTGGGAGGCCTCTCGGGGCTCCAAGGGTTACTTTGCATCTTCGGGTGGCCGTTCCTGTCCTGTGACTGGCAGTCTATTGTTGTGCTCCGGTGTGGGTTGGACGCGGATTCGACGCGGATTCGACGCGGATTCGACGTGGATTCGACACGGACCCGGCACGGATTCGATACGGATTCGGCACGGACTCGACGTGCATCGCGGCGCGACGGGACAGACAAGGTACCCCGAAGATGCAACACAGTAAGGGGCCTGAGGGCCCTCCAGCTCGTGCCTCGCGGCACGTTGGCGGGTTTTACGCACTGGGTCTCGGCCGCCGACGCGCTGCTCAACTGCCTCACCGCGGCAGCCTTCTCGGGCCTGGCCGGTCCGCGGTCGCTGCAGGTGCTGGCGCTGGACGCCTTCTCGGCCACCAGGGGCAACATCAGGGGAGGGTAAGTCGCCACGGCGGCAAGCGAGGGGGTGAAATGAGAAGGAGAAGGCCTTCTGAGAAGGCGGCGGGACTTCTCAGAAGCCCTCGCGCCTTCTCATAAGTTTTTTCTATCTTCGGGAGAGGCTTGGGAAACTTCTCAGAAGGCAGGGGAATTTCCGAACCTCTGAGAAGGCCTTCTCCTTCTCACTTCCCCCCCTCGTTCGCCGCCGATACTTACCAAACCACCCCCCAACCCAACTCGAAGGTCACAGACCCCCCCGAAGTTCCGGTCGGGGAGTGCGGGCTCCACCGTATTTTCTCGACGTTCCAAAACGCCCCCCCGCTGGAAATCGGCAGCCCCCGAGGTGACTTGTTGGGTTGGGGTGGCTTGGCAGGTAGTCAGCAAGGCTCAGGGGGGAACGCATCGACCCCCAATCGCCCATTCATTGCCGATGGGGGCCTGATTGCCCACCCCGTCCAGGACCGTTGGGATTCGCTATCGAGGGCCCATCGCCGATCTTCTACTGGCTATGTAGCGCTGGTTCCAGGTCGACGCTACCCCCCCTGAGCCGGTCCCCCCTGTCGTTGCCCCTCGCATCAACTCCTATACCGACGACCAGCTGCAGGTGTTCTACGAGAAGTACCTCGAGTACCTCTCGAAGGAGAGAAGACCGCATGAACATTCTTTGATCCGCGCTGGACCCCCTCTGGTGGCGCCTCCTGCGCTGCGCCGCCCCTGGCGCGCGGAGCGCGCAAGAGATGGGGGGTGCCCAGCGTCGACTCGAGGAAATCAGCGCGGGCCTCCGAAGATTCATGTGATCGTTGTCTCATTGGTTGTTTTGCCGATCGGCGCGGGCCCTCGCATCCCCTCCCACCCATGGAGTAGGTCTTGGCTGCTCCTGGCGCCTGTTTCAAGCAGGAGTAGTCTCTCCCATGCTGCGCACTGTTGCAAACAGTCGCGTTAAGCAGAGGTCCGGAGCCGAGAAGAAGGAGGAGGAGGAGGAGGAGGGCCCTTCCGCCCAATGTCGAAACGCCGAATAAGAGAACGTGCACCGTGCGTGTGTGCGGGTGTGCGTGTGTGCGTGTGTGCGTGTGTGCGTATGTGCGTGTTTGCGTGTGTGCGCGTGTGCGTGTGTGCGTGTATGTGTGTGTGTGTGTGTGCGTGTGTGCGTGTGTGCGTGTGTGCGTGTGTGCATGTGTGCGTGTGTGCGTGTGTGCGTGTGTGCATGTGTGCGTGTGTGCGTGTGTGCGTGTGTGTGTGTGTGTGTGCGTGTGTGCGTGTGTG